TACAAAAACAAGACCCCTATATATGCTGTCTACAAGAGACCCGCATCAAACCAAGGGATGCGTACAGACTGAAAGTGAAGGGCGGGCTTGAAAAATATTTCACACAAATGGAGACCAAAATAAAGCAGAAGTAGCAATACTCATATCAGATAAAATAAATTTTGAAATAAAGGCTTTGAAAAGAGACAAAGGAGGACACTATGATCAAAGGATCAATCCAAGAAGATATAACAATTATAAATATATATGCACCCAAGAGAGGAGAACCACAATATGTAAGGCAAATGCTAACAAGTGTGAAAGGGGAAAGTAACAGTAACACAATAATAGTGGGATAATTTAATAATCCACTTACACTTATAGATAGATCAACTAAACAGAAAATTAGCAAGGAAATGTAAACTTTAAATGGTGCAATGAACCAGTTACACCTAATTGATATCTATAGGACATTTCATCCCAAAACAATGAATTTCACCTTTATCTCAAGTGCACACATAACCTTCTCAGGATAGATCAGATCCTGGGCCATAAGTCTAGCCTTGGTAAATTTAAAAAAAAAAATTGAAATCATTTCAAGCATCTTTTCTGATCACAGTGCAGTAAGATTAGATGTCAACTACAGGAAAAAAAAAACTATTAAAAATACAAACATGTGGAGGCTAAACAACAGGCTTCTGAATAACCAACAAATCACAGAAGAAATAAAAAAAATCAAGATATTCATAGAAATGAATGAAAATGAAAACACAACAACCCCAAACCTATGGGATACAGTAAAAGCAGTGCTAAGGGGAAGGTTCATAGTGATACAAGCTTACCTCAAGAAACAAGACAAAAATAAAATAAATAACCTAACTTTACACTTAAAGCAACTAGAAAAAAAAGAAATTAAGAACCCCAGGGTTAGTGGAAGGAAAGAAATTATAAAAAATAGGGGAGAAATAAATGAAAGAGAAACAAAGGTCTATAACAAAAATCAACAAAACTCAAAGCTGGTTCTGTGAAAAGATAAGTAAAACAGACAAATCTTTAGCCAGACTCATCAAGAAAAACAGGAGAAGAATCAAATCAACAGAATTCGAAATGAAAATGGAGAAATCACAACAGAAAATCCATAAATAGAAGGGATCATAAGAGACTACTATCACCAACTGTATACCAATAAAATGGACAACTTGGAAGAAATGGACAAATTCATAAAAAAGTATAACCTCTGAAAACTAAACCAGGAAGAAATAGAAAATTATACAGTCCAATCACAAGCATGGAAATCAAAACTGTAATCAAAAATCTTCTAACAAACAAAAGCCCAGGCCAAATGGATTCACAGGTGAATTTTACAAAGAATGTAGAGAAGAGCTAACACCTATCCTACTCAAACTCTTCCAGAAAATTGTAGAGGAAGGTAAACTGCCAAACTCATTATACAAGACCACCATCACCCTAATACCAAAACCAGACAAAGATGACATAAAAAATAAAACTAAAGGGCAATATCACTGATGAACATAGATACAAATACCCTCAACAAAATTCTAGCAAACAGAATCCAACAACATATTAAAAAGACCATACATCATGACCAAGTGGGCTTTATCCCAGGGATGCAAGGATTCTTCAATATTCACAAATCAATCAATGTGATACACCACATTAACAAATCGAAAGATAAAAAGCATATGATTATATTAATTATATCAAAAGCATATGATTATCTCCCATTTGCTGAAGGGAGAGTCTTTGGCAAATTTCAACATCCATTTGTGATAAGAACCCTTCAGAAAGCAGACATTGAAGGACCATACCTCAAAATAATAAATGCCATATATGATAAACCTCAACAAATATTATCCTAAATGGTGAAAAATTGAAAGCATTTCCCCTAAAGTCAGGAACAAGAAAGGTTGCCCACTCTCACTACTACTATTTTTTTTTTCATTTATTTTTATTAGTTGGAGGCTAATTTCTTTACAATATTGTAGTGGTTTTTGTCATACATTTGCTATTATTTTCTCCCAATCTGAGGGCTGTCTTTTCACCTTGCTTATAGTTTCCTTTGTTGTGCAAAAGCTTTTAAGTTTCATTAGGTCCCATTTGTTTATTTTTGCTTT